AGGTACCCCTATTTTGAGTATTTACCCAAAAATTGGGTATAAACTCATTAACTGCCGAACCACTTGACATAGGCGGCCAAAATTTTGCACACATGTTTCTAATGTCAAAGCAAATATAGAAATCCAACATGGGGTCCCTGGGTCCAAGTTTTGATATAGCCCCCATATAACCGTATCTCCCGATTTAGGGTATTTTTTGCCTATTAGACACATTTTAAGGCCAAATTGGCTGTAATTTTTCACAGAGTGTTCTTTTTGGGTACCAAATGTCTCTGCAAAATTTTATGTATGAAGGTCCACGTTTACTGGTAGCCCCCATACAAAGGTACCCCTATTTTGAGTATTTACCCAAAAATTGGGTATAAACTCACTAACTGCCGAACCACTTGACATAGGCATATGACATATGGGGGCTATATCACAACTTGGACCCAGGGACCCCATGTTGGATTTCTATATTTGCTTTGTCATTAGAAATATGTGTGCAAAATTTTGGCCGCCTATGTCAAGTGGTTCGGCAGTTAGTGAGTTTATACCCAATTTTTGGGTAAATACTCAAAATAGGGGTACCTTTGTATGGGGACTACCGGTAGACGTGGACCTACATACATAAAATTTTGCATGGACATTTGGTACCCAAAAAGAACATTCTGTGCAAAATTACAGCCAATTTGGCCTCAAAATGTGTCTAATAGGCTAAAAATACCTTAAATCGGGAGATACGGTTATATGGGGGCTATATCAAAACTTGGACCCAGGGACCCCATGTTGGATTTCTATATTTGCTTTGTCATTAGAAACATGTGTGCAAAATTTTGGCCGCCAATGTCAAGTGGTTCGGCAGTTAATGAGTTTATACCCAATTTTTGGGTAAATACTCTAAATAGGCGTACCTTTGTATGGGGGCTACCAGTAAACGTGGACCTTCATACATAAAATTTTGCATGGACATTTGGTACCCAAAAAGAATACTCTGTGCCAAATTACAGCCAAATTGGTTATAAAATGTGTCTAATAGGCAATAAATACCCTAAATCGGGAGATACGGTTATATGGGGATAAATCAAAACTTGGACCCAGGGACCCCATGTTGGATTTCTAAATTTGCTTTGTCATTAGAAACATGTGTGCAAAATTTTGGCCGCCTATGTCAAGTGGTTCGGCAGTTAATGAGTTTATACACAATTTTTGGGTAAATACTCAAAATAGGGGTACCTTTGTATGGGTCTACCAGTAAACGTGTACCTACATACATAACATTTTGCATGGACATTTGGTACCCAAAAAGAACATTCTGTGCAAAATTACAGCCAATTTGGCCTCAAAATGTGTCTAATAGGCTAAAAATACCTTAAATCGGGAGATACGGTTATATGGGGGCTATATCAAAACTTGGACCCAGGGACCCCATGTTGGATTTCTATATTTGCTTTGTCATTAGAAACATGTGTGCAAAATTTTGGCCCGGGTATTTACCCAAGTATTTACCCACGTCTTTAAAGTATCGTAAAACTATCTATTCTAAATCGATTTGATAACAGAAACCCGGAAATAGGGTGTAAGATGTTGTATTACCGAGTCAATATAGTAAATACCCAAATAAATACCCGCAAATGGGTATTTACCCACCCCTTGGGTATTTACCCGGTAAATACCATCTCTAGTTTTGATACATCATATTATTATTGCATAACGAACTTTTATTTATAGCTAACCCATTTCCTGGTCCCGAAGTTTTAAGACATATGTTTCATACAAATCGTTACTCTTATAGCGAGTAAATGAACATACTTAAAAATGTTGGATTTCTATATTTGCTTTGTCATTAGAAACATGTGTGCAAAATGTTGGCCGCCTATGTCAAGTGGTTCGGCAGTTAATGAGTTTATACACAATTTTTGGGTAAATACTCAAAATAGGGGTACCTTTGTATGGGGGCTACCAGTAAACGTGTGCCTACATACATAACATTTTGCATGGACATTTGGTACCCAAAAAGAACATTCTGTGCAAAATTACAGCCAATTTGGCTTCAAAATGTGTCTAATAGGCTAAAAATACCTTAAATCGGGAGATACGGTTATATGGGGGCTATATCAAAACTTGGACCCAGGGACCAGGGAAAATGGCTGTAATTTGGCACAGAGTATTCTTTTTGGGTACCAAATGTCCATGCAAAATTTTATGTATGAAGGTCCACGTTTACTGGTAGCCCCCATACAAAGGTACCCCTATTTTGAGTATTTACCCAAAAATTGGGTATAAACTCATTAACTGCCGAACCACTTGACATTGGCGACCAAAATTTTGCACACATGTTTCTAATGACAAAGCAAATATAGAAATCCAACATGGGGTCCCTGGGTCCAAGTTTTGATATAGCCCCCATATAACCGTATCTCCCGATTTAGGGTATTTTTTGCCTATTAGACACATTTTAAGGCCAAATTGGCTGTAATTTGGCACAGAGTGTTCTTTTTGGGTACCAAATGTCCCTGCAAAATTTTATGTATGAAGGTCCACGTTTACTGGTAGCCCCCATACAAAGGTACCCCTATTTTGAGTATTTACTCAAAAATTGGGTATAAACTCACTAACTGCCGAACCACTTGACATAGGCATATGACATATGGGGGCTATATCACAACTTGGACCCAGGGACCCCATTTTGGATTTCTATATTTGCTTTGTCATTAGAAATATGTGTGCAAAATTTTGGCCGCCTATGTCAAGTGGTTCGGCAGTTAGTGAGTTTATACCCAATTTTTGGGTAAATACTCAAAATAGGGGTACCTTTGTATGGGGACTACCGGTAGACGTGGACCTACATACATAAAATTTAGCATGGACATTTGGTACCCAAAAAGAACACTCTGTGCCAAATTACAGCCAATTTGGTTGGTTGATTTTGGCCGCCTATGTCAAGTGGTTCGGCAGTTAATGAGTTTTTAGCCATTTTTCGGGTAAAAACTCGGGTATTTACCCAAGTATTTACCCACGTCTTTAAAGTATCGTAAAACTATCTATTCTAAATCGATTTGATAACAGAAACCCGGAAATAGGGTGTAAGATGTTGTATTGCCGAGTCAATATAGTAAATACCCAAATAAATACCCGCAAATGGGTATTTACCCACCCCTTGGGTATTTACCCGGTAAATACCATCTCTAGTTTTGATACATCATATTATTATTGCATAACGAACTTTTATTTATAGCTAACCCATTTCCTGGTCCCGAAGTTTTAAGACATATGTTTCATACAAATCGATACTCTTATAGCGAGTAAATGAACATACTTAAAAATGTTGGATTTCTATATTTGCTTTGTCATTAGAAACATGTGTGCAAAATGTTGGCCGCCTATGTCAAGTGGTTCGGCAGTTAATGAGTTTATACACAATTTTTGGGTAAATACTCAAAATAGGGGTACCTTTGTATGGGGGCTACCAGTGAACGTGTGCCTACATACATAACATTTTGCATGGACATTTGGTACCCAAAAAGAACATTCTGTGCAAAATTACAGCCAATTTGGCTTCAAAATGTGTCTAATAGGCTAAAAATACCTTAAATCGGGAGATACGGTTATATGGGGGCTATATCAAAACTTGGACCCAGGGACCCCATGTTGGATTTCTATATTTGCTTTGTCATTAGAAACATGTGTGCAAAATTTTGGCCGCTTATGTCAAGTGGTTCGGCAGTTAGTGAGTTTATACCCAATTTTTGGGTAAATACTCAAAATAAGGGGGCTACCAGTAAACGTGGACCTACATACATAAAATTTTGCATGGACATTTGGTACCCAAAAAGAACACTCTGTGCCAAATTACAGCCAATTTGGTTGGTTGATTTTGGCCGCCTATGTCAAGTGGTTCGGCAGTTAATGAGTTTTTAGCCATTTTTCGGGTAAAAACTCGGGTATTTACCCAAGTATTTACCCACGTCTTTAAAGTATCGTAAAACTATCTATTTTAAATCGATTTGATAACAGAAACCCGGAAATAGGGTGTAAGATGTTGTATTACCGAGTCAATATAGTAAATACCCAAATAAATACCCGCAAATGGGTATTTACCCACCCCTTGGGTATTTACCCGGTAAATACCATCTCTAGTTTTGATACATCATATTATTATTGCATAACGAACTTTTATTTATAGCTAACCCATTTCCTGGTCCCGAAGTTTTAAGACATATGTTTCATACAAATCGTTACTCTTATAGCGAGTAAATGAACATACTTAAAAATTAATGATTGTACAAATTATGCGTTATGGGATTGACGTTTTAAATCGATTGAATTTAGTAGTTTAAAAGTACATATACGATTTTAAATCGACTCGATTGACGAAATCCAGAAATACAAACTAATTGTTTACACATACCTTTAATCATGATCTAAATGTCGATCAGCTGATTTTTGTTAGTATACATACAAAATTATTAATTTGCGCCAAAAATATTTGTTTACAATTTGAAAATGCTATGATTGTTTGGAATGTAAAAACAAATCAGCTAAAAAAATCTGTAAATAATTTTTGTTCCCTTTGATTTTTGCATTAAGCAACCGTTAAATATAAAAACATACAACATGTGAAAACTGTTGCAAATTTGGGTACATTGTGTAAGAGTTGTATTTTGTGTACAAAACCGCGTTACATCTCATTAGTATAATGATTTCGATCATGATTTAAAATAAACCTTGATTAAGCCTTTAATAATAATTAAATATAATATATATATAATCTATATATATATATATATATATATATAATCTGCTTTAAATGCGCTCTAAAAATGAACGAATAACAAAACAGGTTGCTATTTGAAATGAGTAACCGATTCATATATTCCATAAACGATCAATTGATAATCGTTGCCTAAACGTATTTTACGTATGGCAATGCCGTAAATCAATGTTACCATATTTCTACTACAATCAACAATTCTGGCTGAGTTTGTCAACGGTAGTAATTTGATAAGAATTGAAAAGGCTACAACGTAGCTTTAGTATTGCCCAAGTTTTTACTTAGTTAACACATCGAACGCGAATTAAAAACAAAATCGAATAATATGGATTGCGGTGGAGTGTTTGTGAAATATGTGCTATTTATATTCAATATATTATTTGTGGTGAGAACTAATCGTTCCGAATTGAATTAAACGTTAAAAAAGATCTATCATTTGTGTTGTTGTATATAAATTTTAATTTAAGTCATTTGTTCGAAATTGTTTAGTCATAGTACAAACAGAAAAAGTCCAATTAAAATCGCGCAATTTATAACACAACTTATAAAGAAAACTGCAACACATAGTTACAAAGTCTCTCTGTGTCACAATGGATACACTGTAAAAAATAATACTCGACCTAGGGATTCTTTAGTCAAAGCCTAGAAGTCGTGATATTTGAACATATCTTTCTTGGCCAACTTTTACTTAATCACCCATGTATACACACTTGTCTCTGTTAGTATCTTATCTATTGACAAGAGAATCTCTGGGTTTCATTCCATTGGGTGTGTGTCTGTGTGTTAGTGGGTAAATATTGATATCTTATCGGCAGAAATTCTCCAATGGAAGTAGTTTCTAATATACTTTTTTTTAATTAAGCGAAAATAATCATACCTACATATATTTGTATGTGTGTGTGTGTGAATAGAACAAACAATGACGCATTTTTTATCCGCTATCTGCTCACAAAGCCCTTCAAAGCATACGGGCTCAATGTCAGTGGCGTAGAGAGACAAGATATTGAGCCCTCTAATAATTGCTAGGTGATATTCAGAATATTTTTCACGCTACATTTCTATGAATACTTTAATGCAATGTAGGTATTTATTGAATATATTAGAGCCTATATATAGAATAATTTGAATAATATTATATACATTGCCAAAGAAAAAGTATAGATCAAAACTATTACAGAATAGACTTAATGATCTGCATAGAATCAGGTGTTCAAAAAATACGCATCCGCAATTTTTTACAATGGAAAAACTAGAAGTGCGTGCTTTCATTGTAAAAAATTGCGGATGCGTCTTTTTTGAACACCGGTTTCTATATGCTTTAATTTTTAATTTTTGCAATTTATATAATAAAATATATAAAAAAATAAATAAAATATTAAAAAATTCTTTAAAATGTAAACACTTTTGACGTTTCTTTCTTTCTTTTGTATTTTGATTCGCAAATTTGGCAAAGAAAAATTTGCTAGTGGAAAAGCAAGCGAAAATTTCAAAGGAGAAAACAAAAAAAATTGCCTGTGGAAAAGGGTTTCAAAATCTTTTAGTCAATCATATCACTATTTTTTTGAAAAAAAATGTAACAAAAACACTGCAATATATTAAATTTGAATTCATTAGTTTCCATAATGTTGACGCTAGAAGAAAGTTTCTCACTCTCTATACACTTATTTGTTTATCGAACATTTCAAATTGTAATTGTTTTTTTGCTAATTAGCCATATAATTTGTTTATTTGAATAGCAATAATTATTGCAATGGTGTGAATACAGCTTGATGTCATTTTATTTTTTAAAAATGTTTCATACGATTTGTTCACGCCTATTGTTATTGATAAGAGATGATATACTGCTATGAATCATTCTCATTTCAAAATGTTATATTTTAGAATTGTGATAATAAAATAAAAGGAAAACCTAAAGACCAGAATGTCACAATATAGATTGATAATGAATCAGGCATAATGATTGAGGCGTTATCTGGCGAATCTAGATGAGATGAAACCACAAAAGTTGTTTCCATATTTTTGTATTTGTGTATGACTTTGAGAGGTTCAATAGGACTTGGAATATTCAAACTAGCAAACAGATCAATAATAAAAACTTTTAAATCATCCAAAATTTTAGAATAGAACTACATCACTATTGTTATCAGTATTATAGGGATTTTTCGTTAAACGCAACTTACTATGTACAATGGTATAATTATTACAAGCTAGGGTATAGCTACCAACTGATTACAATTTTTTCTCAAGGTGGCTTGTTCCATCAAATGAAAATACATATTTTGTGTATGTGTGTATTGTTTTTGTAAAGTTAGTCCTGATTTATATTGGGCGAGTTTAATTGCGGCAATTTTTATCGTTCTCTTTTGAACTTGCTTCATATGTCTATACAAGGCAATTCGGCTGCAAACATATATTTTCTGAAATGTATTATTATTATTATTTTTTTTTTTTTGAAATGACACTACAAACAAAATACACAAAACGAATTACCAGAAATTTGTTGGTACGAGCAATTTTTTCCATTTCTATTCCCCTTGCCCCTCTCTCCAGCAAACAAAGACTTGCCGCAAGTAAAATCGCCCAATATAAATAGGGACTTAGTTTTGTTTCTATACTATGTCAAATAAATTCAAAATAAATTGAAATACCCAGCAAGCATTTTATATCCAAAAAGTTACTACCAGGCGATAAAAACACTCGTAGGCGATATCGTATTTTTAACAAATAAGTTATACCGTTTAGAAGAAACGAACCACGTACTCGTTACCTTTAAAAAGTATCTTCTTCGTCACAATTTGAAGTTAATAAAGCGACAGTCCAAAATGACACAGTTTTGTTACTTTAAATATTATCGCCTTAGTTACTTTTAACTTTCACTAAGAATATACGTTTAAGATGTGACGAATGCGTGTTTCATTTCTTTAATAACCGTATTTGTTAAAATACGATATCGCCTGGTAGTGAGTTTTTGATACCCAAAGTAAAATACTTGTATGAATAATGAATAATTGCAATAACAATAATGAATAACCTATATTTTGCAAAAAATTTCAACATTTAACGCCAAACAAACATAATATTGATGTTAAGGTTAATACTAAGTAAAACTAAAAACATTATTTAGTTAAATTATAATAGTTAAATTTTCAACAATTTTATTGATTTACAGTCTTCGGTTGTTTTTTTTTTTTTTTTTTGTATTATAACCAAATGTTATAACCAAAGAGTTAGACATCCATGACCTTAAATCTACTTTACATGTGAATTTTATTTTTCCGCGCCTTTCTATATTATTTGATACAGCAATGAAAACGTTTTCAGGTCGAAGATTTTTTATAATGAAAATGTAATTTATCATAATTTATATAAATCTTCATAAAGTAGGTTAACCCGGTAAAAAGTTCTAATGTATATGTCGTTTAATCTCAATTGATTGATAAATCGAGCTGAATTTACCTCGATTTAGCATAAAAATTTAAATTCAACCATTATCTCAATTGGCACGAAATCCTGCAATCAAAATAATTTCAAATACAACACTGTCTTTGTACAAAAAAATGCATCATGGTGATTTTACACAATATGTATCAATGCACAATAAATAGGTAGTCCATTTAGCGCAGCTGATGACTCGATTAATTGTCAAAGTGCATATTTTTTACTTGAATACGATGTGCAATGTTGCCAACTATGTGAAATATTATAAAGAAAAATTTGACAAATGTTCGAGACAAAAACAAAGGTGTTTGTTTTGATACATCACCTTATTATTACAACATGATATGCATTTTACCTATGTGCCGTCACTTTCTTCATGCATATGCAATTCCTTATGTGTGCCAAATTAGCAGCGTACACAAGTTTTTTTCGTTCAAACCTGCATATGTATTTTTCATATGATATAACCTATAAATAAAACAACACCTTTATTCTTTCTTTAATCAACACATTTTTTGTTATAAAACACCAATAAACGAAATAAAAATTTATAATTTTTCCCTTTTCAACATTTTCTTTGATTTGCAATTAAAATATTTTCTGTTTCTGTGTTTCTTTCAAACAGCTGATTTCCTTATGTTTCGCACACGAACATAGAGCGAGTCCTAATCGGAAAAAATACACATGTAATTACATATCGTTTTGACACATTGAAATTTCCGTATGTTTCACACGATGAGTTTCAGCTACGTGGAATTAGAAATATGTATTGATCTGTTCCCATACTGCAAGAATCTACTACTTTCTACTATAATAACCAATTTTCTTTAATGCTATCGAAGAAAATAGTGAAATCTAGTATATTCTTGCAGTACGGAAACAGACCATATGTGTACGTTAAGAATAATCAGCTGACTGTCTTTACCATGGCTGTCAAAATGCATTATTGTGAATTGACTTCCATTATGAAAACGTAAACAAAGTCGAAATTTTTGACATTAGACTTGAGAAAAAACAGCTGTTTTCCGATTTCGATTGCTATTATGGTGACCTTTTTAATAGATCTAGTACCAAGTTTAAAAAAAATCGAGTAAAGAAATAAATGGTATGTTCCCGTAATGCAAGAATCTATTAATTTTTACTATTTTTTCGATATCATAAAGAAAAGATTATCATCGATAATCACTTCATGGAGGTAAAATACAGTTTGGTATTGGCGGTTTTCTGCATATACACGATGAGTCAAGATTCAACACATGTTCTCGATCAGATTCTGGTCGGAAATTTTAATATTTTTCGATTTTAACTATACTTGAGTATGGCGACTTTTATGAACTGGTGCGTTGTCCTGCTAAAAACGAGTCCTTCATTGTTGCTGCTTTCCCAAAATGGCAATAATTTGTCTTCCAAGATTTGAACGTACTCCATTGAATTCATCCGTCAACATAGAAACGTCAAAAAAAGCATTCCGTGGCTATAAAATGCTCCCAAGACCATTAAGAAACCTCCACCGATCTCCAATCCATCTCCAATAACAACTAAAACCATCTGGGGCATCAAGATTGAATTTATTTTTGTCCGAAAAAATAAACTAAGAAAATATATCGAAGAGATCTGCGGACGGAATCACGATATTTCGGTGGAGGTTCCTTATTTGTCATCTAACATACCAATTGAATTAAAGGTGCGGCTATAGTTATGATACGCAGTGTATCATTTAAATGCGATTTAGAAAACATAGACCTCACGCGTTTTTAGGTTTGTACAATATTTGTACTTGTTGACTCTTTTTTGTTTTTAATAATTCAAAGAAAAGTACAATCAGATATTTGCAAACTTAAATGTCTTTATATATAAATATATCGCAAATATCATTTGTACAAAACGTTATCTGTATAAAATGTTGAAGTTGGAAATTCAACGATTTTTTTCAACATTTTTATAAGTAACGAAATGTATTCTAAACATCTGTTTGTTTTGGCGTTATAAACAGTCCCTGTACATGTATGTATATTTCATAAACACAAACAAGATATTGACTGTCACTTATTAACACAATTCTTAATGTCTAAATTAAAAAGATACACATATATTTATATGTGTTTATGGACATTTTGTTTGCATGTCACTGAAATATTTTCGGTGGTTTTAAGCTGTCTACAATATAGCAAACCCATTCCACCATATACATGCGGTTATATTGTCATTAAAAATAAAAATAATAAGAATAATGTTTAGCACAACCACATGATCGGATAATTCCTCTGAATTGTTTCTTTTTATTTATAGTTCATTTACATGTACTGGATTTCATAAATCAAGTAGATTTAAGTTGTCAATTCCATTGCATATATGTCATCAAGTAGGTTAACCAGGCAAAAAGTTGTAATGTACATGCGTAAAACGACAATAAATGTTATATACCAAAGTTAAAAAATGTTTAACTAAAACAGTTTTTAGTACACGTTTTTATACCCTCCACATTGGTATGGAGGGTATATTAATTTTGTCATTCCGTTTGTAACTCACCGAAATATACATTTCCGACCCTATAAAGTATATATATTCTTGATCAGGGTAAAATTCTAAGACGATCTAGCAATGTCCGTCCGTCCGCCCTTCCGTCTGTTGTAATCACGCTATCTTCCGAAGGAATTTAGATAGGGTGCTGAAATTTTGCATTGGGTTGTCTTTTGTCTGCAGGCAGGTCAAGTTCGAAGATGGGATATATCGGTCCACGTTTATATAAGGGTACCACCCAATTTTCGGAATTTTGGGTTTCTTGAGCGCGTTTTTCAACCGAATTCGGTGAAATTTGGTACATTGGGTACTAAATGTCGCCACAAAAAATTATAAATATAGGTCCACTTTTTCTGGTAGCCCCCATATAACGGTACCTCCTAATTTTCAGTATTTTGGGGGTTTTGGTCGTATTTTTTCACCAAATTGGCTGTAATTTAATACCTTGAGTTGTAAGTAGGTTCCAAATCACTCCACAAAAAATTATGAATATAGGTCCATTTTTTCTGGTAGCTATCTTCCGAAGGAATTTAGATAGGGTGCTGACATTTTGCATAGGGTTGTCTTTTGTCTGCAGGCAGGTCAAGTTCGAAGATGGGATATATCGGTCCACGTTTATATAAGGGTACCCCCCAATTTTCGGAATTTTGGGTTTCTTGAGCGCGTTTTTCAACCGAATTCGCTGAAATTTGGTACATTGGGTACTAAATGTCGCCACAAAAAATTATAAATATAGGTCCACTTTTTCTGGTAGCCCCCATATAACGGTACCTCCTAATTTTCAGTATTTTGGGGGTTTTGGTCGTATTTTTCCACCAAATTGGCTGTAATTTAATACCTTGAGTTCTAAGTAGGTTCCAAATCACTCCACAAAAAATTATGAATATAGGTCCATTTTTTCTGGTAGCCCCCATATAACGGTACCTCCTAATTTTCAGTATTTTGGGGGTTTTGGTCGTATTTTTCCACCAAATTGGCTGTAATTTAATACCTTGAGTTCTAAGTAGGTTCTAAATCACTCCACAAAAAATTATGAATATAGGTAAATTTTTTCTGGTAGCCCGCCCCCCATATATAGGTACCCCCAATTTTCGGTATTTTGGGATTCTTTTTCAACCGAATTCGCTGAAATTTGGTATACTGGGTTCTTATTGGGTACCAAATATCTCCACTGAAAATTATAAATATAAGTCAATTTTTTCTGGTAGCCCCCATATAAGGGTACCCCCGAATTTCGGTATTTTGGGGTTCTTGAGCGCGTTTTTCAACCGAATTCGCTGCAATTTGGTATATTGGGTTCTTATTGGGTACCAAATATCTCCACTAAAAATTATAAATATAAGTCAATTTTTTCTGAAATTTTTCGGTATATTGAGGTTCTTGAGCGAGTTTTTCAACCGAATTCACTGAAATTTGGTATATTGGGTTCTTATTGTGTACCAAATATCTCCACTAAAAATTATAAATATAAGTCAATTTTTTCTGTTAGCCCCCATATAAAGGTTCTTGAGCGCGTTTTTCAACCGAAATCAATCAAATTTGGTATTTTGTAGCCGTATATGGAAACAAATCTCCCTACCAAAAATTATTAATAGTCAACCCCTTTTAGGCGTAGTCCCCATATAACCCCATTTTTTATATTAATATAATTAATAATTAATTATTAATATAATTATCGAAATTTTCTGAAACAAATTTGATCCAAAGAAACATGGATCTAGAACCATTTTAACCGTGTCAAAGTGTATATGCCCTCAATATCCATAAAGCTGAGAGAATAATTGTCCATTAAAAATTTCTGAAATTTGTTTTATAGTTTACATTGTGGTTTATATAACCGGTTTGTGGAAATGTCGATATATGTCCACTTTTTGGTATTTTCCATATATTTTTATTTCAAGTACCTGTCAGTATATCTATGGTGGAGGGTATCCAAAGTTCGGCCCGGCCGAACTTAACGCTTTTTCGCTTTTTATAATTAAGTATCAGAGGACTATGGCCAGCCATTTGTTAAATTTTCGGTATTCAATTGATATCAAAGCAGCTACATTTCCAAAAATTGTATTTTTAATATATATATATATTTAAGTTTTTGGTTATTGTGGTGTTATATAATGTAACCTTATTCCTAAATTCATTATCCTTTTTTCAGATATGTGGCATTCTCCTGATCGTGTTTGGATCTATTATGCTCTCAAATATCGGTGACATCAAGAATGTCGTCAATGCCTATGAAACTCACTCAGTTCCTATTGTCATCTTGGTATTGGGCTGTGTAATTTTTGTAATTGCCTTCCTAGGATGTTGCGGTGCCATTCGTGAAAACTCATGCTGTACAATGACGGTATGTATAATTAATATGTTTTTGAATGAATATTTTACCGGTATTTTAATGTTCCTTGCAGTATTCCGTCATTATGTTCGCCCTGTTTTTGTGTCAACTGGCTTTGATCATTTTCATTTGGACACAACGTGCTAATATATTGCAAGCCATGGATAATGCCATTAAAACTGTATGGGATCAACGTCAAAACGATAGAAGTGTCATGGATGGCATTGAATTGAGCGTAAGTTTGAAGTTATATACATATATATTTAATTCAATTTTAAGTACAAAAGACGTTTTTCAATATAAAAAACATTTTCGATCTGTCCCCGTACTTCAAAAATCTACTACTTTTTGCTACGATAACGAATTTTCCTTTATGATATCGAAGAAAATAGTAAAATCTAGTAGATTCTTGTAGAAAGGGGAACAAAACTTTTATATTCATAGGTAAAAAATGTTAGTGATCTTTTATGGCAGAATTATACAAGTCAGTCTCATGCAGTCATATGTTTCCAATTTTTTCATAAATTTGCCTTCGACAGTTTTCTGCTTTCAAAATTTAAATCAAAATATATTCCTTCGAAATGTACGCATATCACGTGTTCTGTGTCAAAAATTGCTAAAAAATGTATATTTATAAATATTTTGAAGTTACCTGTCATTAATGTTCAGCTTTAGAAAATATATTTTGTTTACAATTTTATGGAATTAATTTTTCTTTTATTTGAAATTGATAGATGAGTTCAAAATTAAAAAGGGTTGCCATGATCAAATTCTTAAATGAGACTACCTTCTGTAATTATGACATGAGGATCTTCTTTACTGATAACTTTTTTTTAGTTTGGCAAATTGAATTTCAACGTCAAACATCGAAAGTTTTTCAGTTAATTATCCGTAGCCCTGTAATGTGTTTTTTAACTAATCCTCTTCAGCTGTGCCTGCTTTCTTTTCAAATTGTATATTTTTTATAAAGCGCGTTTAGACTACATAATATACTTCTTAATGATAATAATTACACAGCCTCCATTGGATTTTAATTGACATATACGCTATGAAATTGTCATTTAAGACCGTGTGGACTTAACAAAAAAATATTAAATCTTGCAAATCACTAAAATTCTAATAATCAAATACATTTTTTTTCGTTTAGTTCAAATGTTGCGGTTATACTTCGCCTACCGATTACGGTATGGGACCCGTTCCTAATTCATGCTGCGGCCCCTCAGCTACTTCCTGCAGTATAGTGGAGGCATTGCCACGCCCCGGTTGTAAAACGGCATTCGAGAGAATGTGGTCCAAGAACATTGATATTATTCGTTATGCTGGTTTGGGTGTTGCCGGTGTTGAAGTAAGTTTCAATATTTTTGATAATTCACAAACATATGTTCATGATTTTATGTTTCTTTTTCAGTTAATTGCTTTCATTTTCGCCTGCTGTTTGGCCAATCAAGTACGAAATGCCCGTCGTAGGGAATACTACTAAAATAAACAACTAATTCAGGAATTAAAACGAATGAAATAATGAATATAATATATGCATTAAACATATTTCCTACATCCATATAATTTTAAATATTTTCAATATTTTAACGAACAATAACAAACCAAATTGCGACTAATTGTAATATACAAAAATTATAAATAAATTATTATTTTAAACGTACAACAATGTTTATGTATAAGTTTAACTGCTAAGGCCACCTGTAATGCAATTCTGTAACGGTTTTAGTTGTTACCCACAAATTAGGTTAAAATTAAAATATATATTTTTCATGTACAAAATAAGTGGTATGTTCCCGTAATGCAAGAGTCCACTAATTTTTACTATTTTCTGCGATATCATAAAGGAAAAATTGTTATCGTAGTAAAAAATTTTACATCTTTGCAGGTTCTGGAACAGACCAAAAATGTATGATTACTTTATATGTGATTGTTACCAAAATTTTTTTTTAATTAATGAAATTGTAAGCAAATGAAAAATTTTAACATTTCTGTCGTCAAGCAGTTACGGAATCGCACTACTGGAATCTTCGTTGGTTTTCAAAATATATTTCTTGTTTGTTGTTTATACCAACACCGATTATATCGACATATCGGTTATAACGGCGGTATCTAGATGTCATGAAAAAAGTTTGCCTTTTATTTGATATCGCTTATAGCGACAAATTTACCCATACCTTCGAATTTGCAAATAGAAAGAAAAAATATGAGAATTGAAATATTCCTGCAATAATCTATGAGCACAATGGCAGGACTTTGAGGCAACAAATCACTAGAAGCAGCTAGGCCTTTCAAATCTCGTTCGGATGTTTATAACACCCAAAAAGCAAATCTACAAAATTTGAGTGGAATCCATTCAGATATAGATATATCATCCAAATATATATTTCATTCGATTTTATGCTAAAACCCCAGAAACTACACATTTTGTGTCGATCAATCACTTTCGGAAAATTTGGTCCTGATCGCTTTATATATAAATACATATACCAAAAATGAAGGCGGATTTTTATAATTAGCACTTAAATATGAAGATATATTAAAGAACATCTTTTGTCTACTTCCATTTCCTATTTTTCTAAAAGAATTATTTTTTAAGAAGGTAGCGATGAAGCGATGAAGATGGTCTGCATTTTACTACAAACAAAATTTTTAATTTTAAAATTTATTCCAGTACGGGAACAGTCCATATGTATTTCCCAATTACACCCAGTGTGGCCAGATCAAAAATGAAGTTGGAGCTAAAACAATGCTAACAAAAAGCTATAAAATAAATTCAAATGCCAAAAAATAGTGCTATATTTAAAAACGTTTTTACCCTGGAGTGCATCACCTCCCTTTTTGGTCAATATTTATGGCAGCTTGAGTTGAATATCAAAAAACAACTATGTAGGTGGTGGCTTCTACTGCTAAATATAAAATATATATACGCAACAAGTGGTTGTGTATATTTTATTTATTTTTTGTACGTTCCCACGCCTCACTTTCCCACCCCATAATCCGCATTATGTCGACCAGAGGGGCGACATATGTGCTCCCCTTGTAATTCCTTATGTGTGTCAGGGATCACAAAACATTTATTTTTGTGTTAAAATCGTACACACCATAATCCGCATTATGAAATAATAATTTGGAATATGTGTTTCAATCAAGGGTTTCACATACGAAAACCAGCTACATATCGAAATCTACTTCAACAAAAAAGTTTGTAAAATACATATCGTGTAAAAACACCATAAGTTGTATTATTCATTTAAAAATGTAATTATATTAGATTTTATTAGTTCTACGTTAGAATACACAGAATTGATCAATCAATCAATAAACATTTTACTAAGTGGATCTCCCATAGAATAATTTGTGCGATGAAAATCTACGTATAATGGTTGATAATATCTACTTGATCGAAAAGGATCATTTATTCTAATGGATGAAATTAGGAAGTCTGAGGTTATATTACCGTTTATATTGTATATTGGGGATCCCATACAACAGAGCCATATTCTAATATGGGTCGCACAAGAAATGTAAAAAGTTCTTTTTTGTAATGTAGGGATCAGAGAATTCTTTAGCCCATCGTTTTATAAATCCTAAGACACCGTGGGCTTTGTTTACCATAGAAATGACATGATAATTAAAATTTAATTTTGGATCCATTAAAATACCAAGATCAACAAATGAATCTACTGTTGATAAAACAGTACCATTAATATTGTACTGCCTTATTGAAGTAGAAGATCTGGAAAAACACATATGCTCACTTTTTTTAGGTTTAAATTCATACAGTTGAATTCGCACTATTGAAAAAGGCTATTTAAATCATTTTGAAGTAAATCAGCTTGCTTCATGGAGTTATGGGTGATAAACAACTTGACATCGTCAGCATACATTAGCAGTTTGGAATGGATTATTGCATTTGGTAAATCATTTATAAATAGAACAAATATGAGTGGACCTAAATGACTTCCTTGGGGAACACCGGAAGGAACATTAATGGATTTGGAGGGACAATCATCAAACAAAACTACCTGTGATCTATTTCCCAAATATGATGATATCCATTTAACTAAATTTATACTGAAACCAATTTTATATAATTTATGTATTAAAAGTTCGTGGTTAACCCTGTCAAAAGCTTTACAGAAGTCAGTGTAAATCGTATCGGTTTGATTACGCTGAATAAAACCTTTTATGACGGTTGAGGAAAATTTAATAAGATTGGTAATGGTTGATAGACCACTACGAAAACCATGTTGATATGGACTTAGGATTGGCTGAACTTTATGAGAAATTACATCAGTAATCAGTTTTTCGAATAATTTTGGAATTGCACTTAATTTAGCAATTCCTCTATAATTCGAGACATTAGGTAAGCTACCACATTTGTGTAAAGGAACTATATAGGATTTCTTCCAGAAGGTAGGAAAATGACTATATTTCAGGGAATAATTAAACAATAGCGTTAAAGGGATAGCTAATGTATCTGAACAGTACTTTAGAATTATGCTAGGAATGCCATCCGGACCTGGACTTTTAACTGATCTTAAATTACGTAGATTTTTAGAAACATATTGACTTTGTAAAAAAGGCATACATATTTGATCTATCGTCGATAATTTATAACTATATGTGTATTTATTTGGACAGGGTGAATATGTTGTAGCGAAAAAAATTGCAAAGCACTCTGAAATTTCAGAGTTTTTCTCAAATGTCTGATTATTGAATTTCAAAATGGTGGGCTTTGACGTAGCTTTTCTTTTTATATTAACAAAGTCAGAAAAAGATTTAGGATTGGATTTGAAATTAAGTTTAATCTTGTTTAAATAAAGATTGTAAAGTTTTCGGGACTCTGTCGTATATTTAGACCTTGCGACAGCATATTTGGCATAATCTATAGAGGAGTCTGATTTTTTATATTTTTTAAAAAGTTTATTTTTATAATTTTTAATACTTGAAAGCCGAGTTTCTAAGCCTAACAATGGGAACACATTCTAGAATACATTTATTTAGGATATCATAAAATGTATATACTGATAATTCTAAATCACAATGACTCTTAATGAGTTCCTATTTACGGATGAGATAAGTGCGTTAAGCTTTCGGAAGTCAGTTTTATTATAATTAGGAACAGATTTAAATGACATTGAAGAGTTTTTGGTAGCTAAATTATTATGCATCATGGATATGCATAATGTAGGATGGTAGTTATCTTCGGGAGTACATACTGGAGGTATTCTAATTATTTCAGAATATTGTGTATAATTCACAAATGCTAGATCTAGAATACGATCATAACAATTTGATACGCTATTTATTTGATAAAGATTTATGTCGCTAATTCGATTTACAATTTCAAAGGTATATAGGTTTACATTTGCATCAGATGTCAAGGGTGTTAGAGCCTCAGAATCAGGCAATGAAAGCCACTTTATGGACGGAAGATTAAAATCGCCGAGAACTAATATTTTGTCAGAGTCATTCATTTTGTTAGTGATTGAATTTATTGCTAACAGATTCTGATTATAAATATCAAGTTACGATGAGGGAGGAATGTATGAGCAAGTCACAAATAATTATATAACTAAAAACGTTAAAAATTAATGATTTTGATTTCTTTAAAAAATACAGTAGGGAAAATATTGAATATATTTCAATTTATTATGAATTTATTTGACATACAGCCTGTTTTTGTAAATGTAAAATGTCCACACACATTTTGGTTTTCGCAAACAAATTACCGCTTGTTGTGGGTGAGAAATAGGAAAGAGCTTTTGGTATTCGTATTTTTTTGGTTTTTGTTATACAAAACGGTGCGTTATTTACGAACAAAAATGTCAAAAACAAGCGAAGAGAAAATAACATTCGTTTAAAAAATAATAATAAAGAAAACTATTTGTTCATTACAATTTGTATGTTGTTAGTGAAAAGAACGTAACAAATATGGAAAATTCTGATGAAATATATAAGAAGAAATGGTTTGTAAAAAATTATATATCCCTATGAAATGTAAAAAATTATATTGAATTGTTTGAACCCCTAGCAACAAAAGGACAACGATTGCCCAATTCCAAAAATTGGCAACTGGCCGTCCTGTTTTCAATATAAATTTGAAGTGGATAACAAGTGGAATAATGTAGATGTATCATTAAATGCCATAGGTATTCTCCTTTGGTAAATATTTTGCTTTTCTTTATAATTAAAATTAATTGCAATCGTACCAAACATTTTGAATTTTCTATTTTGACACTTTTTATGTAAAAAAACTGTTTGTAAACAATAAACAGAGTTACCCTCATTTTGCAATAATTCTATTGGAAAATTTGCAACAAGATACCAAAAGAAACACTTTGGCACTAATGGTTAAAAACGAATGAAAAAGCTCAATCGTTTCTAGACGAAAGCTTTTACAATTATTACAAAAACCAAATTTTCGACGTATACGTTTTAATACGAACGATACGTGTGACTGGCGGAACAAATTACAA